GAGTGATCGACGGGCGGAGAGCGGCACTAGGATTCCTGGAGTCAATGGAGAAGTGCATGGGAGATATGGGGATCTGTAAGAAGTGCGCGAACCTGGCCCACGACGGCGACTGCAAGGACATTGAGGAGGCTGCTGGAAATGAGAAGGCGATGAAGGTGCTCCGTGAGCTACTCAGCAGTGACCCTATTTCATCCGATGAAGACATGGGGGATACGGAGGAGCCGTCCTCATCAACGTCCAAGGAAAGAAAGAAAGGGGGACAAGCAGGGAAAGAAACAATTGAGATGTACAGCTACACTATTAATTTGGTGGAGATGGCTGACACGGCTGAGGGAGGAGAGCTACAATGTGGTGGCGTCGACCTCACATACAACCCGTGCGGGGACAGCAGGACATTCAAGAAGACGCTTGAGATGGGATGCGACACCATCCCGTGCTACATCCCGAAGTACGGCGACATGATTGATGTGCATATGCCACGGGCATACGCGTCTATCGTTGACCCCAGGTACTTTCCCAGAGGTGCAATCCTTGAGCAAGTGGACGTGATGCAACTTGGCAAGAGTGTCAACTTTTGCATTGCACCTTTCGACGGTGCTCCACTATGCAGGATCGGTGATGATCGCTCGGTATTTACTTCAAGGGACCAAGCAAACCAGCTATCTCACGACCTATGCAGAGTCCTTCGACACAAGATCGGCAATTGCCGAGGAAGTGCTTTCAGGTGCGACGAGGGTGGATGGGTCGACATTGATGCTGTCATTGACGACCGAAACAACGACATATTCCCACCTAACACCTCGAGAGCGAAACGATACATGGGCATCATGGAGGTGATCAAGTGGCAGGAATCCGGAAGCAAGAAGTCGAGATTCCAGGTTCTGGCAGCAAGGTTTCCGAGCATCATGAACCCGAACGACACGAGGGCAGCCAGGGAGGAAATGAACAAGGCTGGCGTGGATCGGGACGACATCGACAGGATGTTCAACAGATGCGATGGATGGTACAGACCTTGGTGCATCCGAGTCACAACCGGTCACAGTGATTTTGGATTCATGAGCTCATCCGCACTGGCGAATAGGTATTCCGCAAGAATGGGTGATACTCTCGGAGGAGCATTCCATGTGACGTATGTGGAAAACCTGCCAAGCATCGTACGCTGTGGGCTAGTCCCCGGCGGAATCGATGGCGGTAACAGGCTAGCACTGCACTTCGGGGCGTTTGCTCCATGGGATGAGATGAACGTGGCGACGAAGACAACGCTACGGAACGTGAGGAGAGGGGATCCGATTGCGATCATCTATATTCCCAGTGCAACCCTCGCGCGGTATGGGGCTGGAGTCGCGGCTAATGGGACTTTCATGGTCTTTGACGTGATCCCGTTCTATGAGGTCAAGTCCATTTGGATTGGCAAAAGCAATGGAGGGAAGCGCCTGGAGTACGCTGACATCAAGAGGGCGTACTCGAAGTGTGTGGAGAACGAGATCTGCCCTGGCTTTGTCAACTCTTCCCAAGAGTCGGCTGCGATGTTCCTCCAGAACGTCGCAAAGATCAGCGAGAGGATGCCGGAGACTGAGACAGGTGCCGATAATCTGCACTACATCGTTGACATGGTTAATCGTGCTTGCGAACTCTATCGAAACAACAAGATGGAAGAGTTCAACGCACAGGTCAACGAGGTCCGGGACGAAGTCAGCAAAGTCGTCATCCTGAATGATGAGACATGGGAAGGACTGAGGTGCCGGATATGTCCATCATGTGCGACCGCGATCCCCACCTGCTTCTGCTTATGCCTGGAGTGCGAGGCACAACTGATCTCCATCGGAAGATACTACATTCACATCAAATCCGATGACGAGGAGGACAACCAAAACCCCAACGTCTCTGGAGATGCCAGGCGTGCACAGGAAGAAGCTAACCACGATGCGGCAGCACAGGAGGATGAAGACGAAGCGGAGGAAGTTCCGGGAGAAGATGACGACATGGACACGCAAGGATATACATCCGGCTATGCGTCAGAAGAAGAAGACGGCGGTTGGCATTACCGCGACACCGATCTGGCGTCACGGGACATTATAAGTTCCCAACGGATGGCGATCTGCCTTGACGAGCCGCGTGAGGCTCAGTACATGGCAGGATTTATCGCACTCCAGCTGTCCAAGATGTGGGGGATGTTTGAAGGTGGTGAGGAGAGAACGATGAATGCCAAGCTCGAGGGGAGAGAGGGCTGCCCTTACCACAATGACTTCAGGAGGTACCCCAACATCACTGAGCATGATCAGGAAGGTATACTTTTGCCATCAACAATAACGAAGATTTCTCAATCGGAGAATGTTCGGACAAGAGCCTTCCGATCGGTTGAGGAGCGTGACGAATATATTCGTATGATGGTGAACAAATGCGAGGGACTATACACATTCTACAAGCTGTGGATTGCAGCAAGAATCCTCGATGTCACCAAGGAAGAAATGAAGCTCCTGGTCAAGGACCGAGTGCACCCGGTGGGTGATATTATTTTCAGATGTTTTGCACTAGCTTTCAACTGTAAGTATATATCATTCGTGAGGGATGGCCTAAACCTTGGCAAGCATGGTTACGCGGTCAACGTGAGCGCCATCATCTCGGCCATCGACCCGAACAAATGCGACACACCCCTGCTGGATTGGTGCCTTCGGAAAGGGCACTGGTTGCCAGAGGACTACAACAAGAAGTGTGTCCGGGCACGAGAAGCCCAGAAGAACTTGGACGAGGAGTTCCGCCGACGTACCCATAGGCTGTCCATTGGGGACAGGTATGCTTCGTGAAGATGATGATTGCGGTACGATGTGGGCCAGTCCCCATCTGTTACTTGCGTCACATCGACACTGTTTCGGTGGAACGACTTATGTCATGATTTATATTCATGTGTCCAAGATGATTGGATGTGTACATGGTTACATATTCCGATGACTATGACGCTCTGGATATTCATGGATGGAACTATTACCTTATAGATGATATCTTTTCATTATTTATGTATTGTCCATGGTATCTGGAATGGCTATGATTTGCATTGATTACTCACCGATGTTTCCTTGCCGGAGATATGCAGACCGATCACAAGCGGGCGCGCATGGTGGACATTTGTGGCCAACCCATTTATGGATGACAGCTGCGCGATGCGCAAATGCGGCAGCTGGAATGTTCACTGGCGGTCAAGTGAAGTGGCCACAGTGTATTATATACACCTGCATATGGATGTGTGCTTCGATTGGAGGATGAATGTTTCACTTTTCGTACAATCGAACCCGGCATGTTTCACAGCGAATGAACGGTGTAGTGATAGCAAGTAAAAGAATGCACGACACGATTTCGTAGTTGAAGCCGTGGCCAGTGGAACGTTTTGTGGTGTTTGGACCGCATGATGAACAATGCGACCCAAATGGGGGATGTTAAAACCCTCTAGGCCCCGTGCCGAAATTGGGTAGCTGTTCTGAGGTCCTTGTTGGTGTTGCTTCCCAAGTTCCATTGATCGCCATTTGGCTCAAGACACAATTGAGGTTCAAGATCTGATGTGTGACTGCGGATATCCGTGATTGGCATTAGGAGGAAAACAACTGCTTGCGCCGCACTGTCAGGACTACTGTTGTGACTATCATTCCTTCTTCCTTACAACGTTTACACGGGTTCGGCTATAACGGCATCGTCCGTATACACCTTTCTACGTGGTTGGTATTAAAGCTTGAGGGTTCGGTGCACAGCGTCCCACGGGACGTCACCTTGCCGTCTCTTGACAATTTCTGTGACGCTGGATTGGTCATGTCGAGCTTGCTTTGCATTTGGGAAAAATACTTCCGAAAGTGCAAGACATCTCAACAATTGATTAGAGAGCGGCCAGCACCAAATTCAGGCTGAAGGGCCTCCAGGGATTGCAGGACCACAGAGCACAGACTACACTGTTGAAGCATTCGCCGAGCACCGCGACAGGACATGCGCTGAGGCACTTGATGTCAGCTTTGCGCGAGAAGGAGCGTTGCTAAGCGGCTTACAGCTTGGGGTCTGTGACTGCGCATGTGAAGGACGTGCAGTCAAGGATGGATGCTGATGGCTTCATCTCCATCCAGTTCCGTGTTGTCATTGATTCTGGTGTGATTTGCTCTTCACATGAGACAGCCAAGGTGGCTGCTGAAGGCAAAGTGCCTTGGTAGCGCTTGTGATCAGGGAGTTTCAACTTGAATGTCAGGGCATATCATTCTCAGGCCAGTCCTGAGTTCGGCTTGCAATGGAGATGCCAAGTGGATGGCAACTGCTATGGGGCAGGCATGGCCCTGACATGATGGCTGTTGCAGTTGTTCGTGTCAGTCCAGGAGGAGCAAGTCCGACTGGACAAGGTGCGGAGATGGACCAGTCTTCATAGGTTGACTTGATTGGCACCGTGTAGACAGTGCAAAAGTGGTGCTTCCTTTCACCAATTTGTGGCCCAAGCTTTTGCAGCTTCTTTGCCACTGTCACCGTGCGCTTTGCGCACTCGCTCCCAAGCAGCCTGGCTAACCAATCTTGCCAGCTGACCGGTGGAGCCTGCCGAACTGATACGAGGTAATCATGGACAGCTCTGCCAAGTCAAGGGCTTTGAAGAGATGCATTGTCGCTGGTGTCCCTGCCATGCTGTCAATGAAGTCTCACGTTTTGCCAAGGTTCATCATCATGTTGTTCGATATTCCCATCATTGCTGATGTCCGTCACCACTGCGAGGTCGGTGGTGCTGCTAGCAGCACATGCGACTACTTGTTGAATCATGCATGCTCCAGGTTTACGGTCGCGGCACAGGCTGGCTGTGATGTCAGGCTGCGTGACCAATTTTAGCAATGTGCGATCCCTGCGTCGAGGTAATTCAGGTGGTATTGGTGGTGGTTGCGGTCTTCGATAGTCCGTGCGCGGCACAGACGTTCTTTCGTTCCAACAGTGTCAGTAGGCAGCGTGATATGCGCGCCTGTGGGCTAAGTCTCCAAGGTCTCTCAACAATGGGCTCCTTGGTGAAGGCGTGGCTTGCCAAAGAAACAAAGTCGATGTGTGCCCTTCAATTTTCAATCCTGGGAGGCATTTGAGCCGAGGCTGCAGTGCCCAGCGTCACATGTGACAGCCTTGGCAAGCCGTGCCCAGCTTGGCCCGAGCACTTTCTATCGCGCTTGAGGAAGGGAGGAAGTGCGACAGGAGACAGCGGCGCCCTTCGAAGAATCAGCAGGACTTGCTTGAAGTACAAGCCAAGGTGACAGTTGAATTTGGTCATGTTCCCATTCATAACAATCTTCTGTAGGAAAGCTTCAAGAGGCTGCGGCAGCTGAGTCCAGCCGCCCGACGCACCATGCTGAACCAATTGACTGAAGGGCAGCGACTGGCGCCGGGGCCCTCGTGCCACAACAGCTGACAGCCGGTGAGGTGGCCATTGCCATGACATATTTGCCATTAGTTGCACTTTACGATCTTAGGCTGGAGCGCTGGATGCTTCGCCAAGCACAACTTCGATGCAAGGTGTTTGCATGATAGCGTACACGCAGCCGTGACATGCCATACCTCAATCAGCGATTGCTGTCAACTTGATGCGGACGAGTGTGGCTTAGCTGTTCTAGCATTGCCATTTTCGCGTATTCCTTCCAGACTTGGTCCATGCTTCTACTCATCTATCTCTCCATCCTTCTATCCCTCCAGTCCTCCAGTCCTCCATCCCTCCATCCTTCTATCATCCCTCTATCCCTTTATCTCTCGATCCCTCCCAGCTAGCCCATCGCTGCCCATCGCTGCATTGATCCATCCGTCCTTCCATCCCAGGCTGCCAAGTTTGCTGGCTGATCTATTTGGCCGTTCGGCCGTTCAGAATGGCAGTCCTTCACGTCTTGGGAGCGACGTAGAAGCTCGTAGAGTCACACCACGTCAGGAACCAACAGCAGCTCATCCGACTAGGAAGCCCATAGCCGCGGTAGAGCACTCAGAACACAAACAGATGTTTGTAGCAGGACAAAGCAACTCCCCAAATTCGGCACAGGGGTCGGCAGAGACCTTGTTTGCACACTGCATGCAGGATGTGAAGCAGCGAAAAGCCCGACGCTCTCCTTGCGGGGCTTGCTTCTCAGAAATTCAGCATGCTGCCTGCTAAGCTTTCATTGACCGCCTGTTTTGGGCCCTGGCTTGGCGGGCAATTTACTAGTCCAGCCAGGTGAAAATGCCCAAGAGCCGAGGCTCGGCAGGTCGTCAAGGGCACAAACTAGACAGCTTCCAACGCTGCTCGCAGTGAGGCGGTGGCAAAGATAGGCCTGGTTTTGGCATACACAGGCTGGTCTGCAAAGCAGTTGCTTTGCACTTCTCTTACAGAGCCAATCAATGCGGGCAACTCCAGGCAATGCAGAGCCGGGAGGGTAGTGTACAGAGCTGGAGCACGCTCCTCAGCCGGGATGGCATGCGTCCTCTGGCGCTTGCTTTTTGTTTAGTGGTTGCTTCATGCCAAGGTGAATCTGGGGCCATTTCGTTTGCATACTGCATACGATGCCGATATCAACAAGGCCTCGGCTCAAGCTCTCAATGTTGCGAAATGCGACAGTTGGCCGATGCAGGCAAAGAGCAGTCTGGAGGACTGCTCTGCAACTGTTGCTGTGAGTTGACGGATTGACCATCCTCTTGTGCAAGCAGAGCAGCGGTCCAGGCCTTGTTTTGCATTCAGCAGATTGTGCGACGACACTTGGCACGACCAGAGTCGCTTGACCCAGAAGGACTTGAGCTGCACAAGATTGCAATAGTTTTTTGTCATTAGCAAATAGCAAAGGGGCAAAGGGGCTACAAGTTGGAGAACGCGTATCGCGCCTTGTAGGACCTGGCAAAGAGCTGGAGGCCACATGTGCCATTGCAGAAATTCGCAATTCGAATGTGTGGAAGGTGGCCTTTCGGTCAGCTCTTGAGCAGCATGGCGGTGATCGGCTTTCGTCTCAGCTTCCCATGCCACGTTGGAGCTGGTGCAAGCTGTTTGAAGACGCACCTAGGTTACGCTTCAGCGTGCAGATCCCTGCCAAACGGTGGGTGAGGGTCCTGTCTCATTCATTGCATGTTTCTTGTACTGAGAACGGATTTGGGTTACTCTTCCTCTTGCCGGGGGAGTCAGCCAAAAATCGAAGTTGCAATAATTCGAATGGAGTGCCCTAAAACATACCGACATGCAGTTCTCAGCAGTTACAAGCAGTCCTTTTCCTGGTTTCAGGGAGTAAAATGCCAAGTGGCAAAAATCCGGTTGTTTGTCTGCTGCATGACCTGCATGCTTGAAATCCGCGCAAACTGACACAAGTGACAAAAGAGCATTTCACCCTCAGCTGGAAATCAGGCGGAAACTGCCACAACACATGTGGTTTTGAGGATGGCATGGTGTTTGCTGTTTGCAACTGCACAGCCCCACCGGATCATTTGCAGCTTGAGGTGGGAAGGGCTTTGGCCACGCCCAGCTTTGCCACTTCTGGCAACGGTTTGGAGAACGGGCGCGCCCGGCTGCAAGTTGGCGGAATGCGCTGAATGCGCTTGAGCTTGGGGTAGGCTGAGCGCCTGGCGCCGCTTGACGGTGGCCCGGAATGTAGTTCGCCGCCAGCCCGGATCTTGGGCTCAGGTCCTTGGGCTCAGGCCGTAGGCAGTCCTAGGCAGTCCTAGGCAGTGGAGATCTTTTCGAAACCAAGGGCGAATCGCCACACAATCCTCCAGGATGATCGCCATGAAATCGAGGACGGGTGTTTCGAGGTTTGCTCGAAAACATTTACCTCAACTTTCCTCATTTCTTCTGGGCGTCCCGTTTCCTTCAGGCAGCGTGGCAGCAACTCCGCTCAGCATACTTCGAGATTTGCGTTGCAGCGGGTCAGCGTCCCGACTTAGTGCAAGGGCCTTAGATCCAACCAAACCGCCGGAACCGCCGGGCTAGCAATGGTACAGTGGTAGGAGGGCTGTCAGATTGTTTTGAAGAGGTTTGAAGAGGCTTCCAAGCGGCTTGGGAAGGGAAAGCCATAAGTGTGCAGGTCGGCAAAATTGATGCGATGGGAGGTGCGTCCCACGCGTCTCACAAGACCGCAGCTCGCTCGCTCGGTCCAGGGCATTCGCAGCTATGAGCATCGCTTCCAGGAGAGGCTGGGCGGCCAAGCTGAGAGAGCTGAGACAAGCTGCCGAGCCACGAATTTTCAGGCCACCAAATATTAGCAAAAATGACATTCAATGCTCATTGAGTCACATATCACCAGAGAAGGTCGCGACTTCTCGTGAATGTTGGAACAAGGAAGACAAGGGTCTTGTCGCATTTCTTGGTATGCCATGTCACCGGTATTCTGCTTGCGCGGCAATTGCCACCCGAGGCGTCAACAGGTACACGTGAAGGCTGGGACTCCAGGAGGTCAATATCATCAGTAGTGTCCCTGGAGTACGCCTTATGGAGAGCTGGCATGCACATACCAAGGGAGGTACATTTCCGCAGCTGCTACCCGCTACCCACAAGTGTCCTCACGATTCGTGGGGCAGTTGGCACTGTATTTGATTGTCAGGCAGGACTTCACGATGGTCGAGTGACTCGTGATGCACTCGAGTCCGCGGGATGGCGGACCCGGCCAGTCCCATCAAAACGCGACATCCTTGTCCGTCCCAGTGTTGTCTTACGGCCTTGGGACTGGCACTTCAAAGGGTGTGGGCTCAAAGGCACCTGATCCCACGCACGACTGCAAGAACGGAGAGAAAACACTGGCGAAAAGGAATCTGAAACAGCTTGGCAATCTTGTGGCTTGCCTTGCAACCGAAGTTGCACCTTGCAACTGTGCAGTCCCGCCGACGTGTGCGACTTCTAAGTCGCAGCGAACACCTCCTGGCAGAGGCTCCTGGGCACTTGACAGTGTTGCATAGCTGACTCGACGTGTACCGTCTTTGTGGCCCCCATTGAGGCTATGCGCATCATGCAAGACAAGCCCTTCGAAGTGGCGTGAATCTCAGAGATTTGACTCAAAGAGCAAAAAAGCAGTCCACTGCTGTGCTGTAGGTGCCGCTCAGAAACTTCTTCTCCATCCCAGCATTGAAGGAGTACACAAATCCAGAGAGTGCCCCAATGATTGCCTTTCAGAGCACTCGATCATTCAGTCAAGACTGGCTAGGTGTGCTCCGGGAAGCATTGGAGCATGCGGACTCCGACCTGATGGTGCAGGGTGCCTTCGTTTGGCCCACAGTAAGAATCGAGAAGCCTGGTGAGTCTGGTGAGTCCAGGTCGCCTCGCGTCCTCGAGCGGCCAAGTTGCGGAAGTCAGTCGAGCAGCTCTTTGAGAACCAGGCTGCAGCATTTTGTGCGGGGAATTGGCACCAGCGTCATTCGTCGACAGGATCCGAGACTGCAGGCAAAGATGCAGCAAACTGGGGAGCTGCCTTTGACTTGGTGCTGGCCACAGCTGGGCCACACAAAGGTGCTGGGCCGCCTGTCACCTGTGAGGATTGTCAGTCGATATGCAGACAGGCGAGGCTCATCCAGCTGAGATCGCAATTATAGCCTGAAAAATGCCCAGGCTGGGCATATTTGCACAGGAAGATGCACGTGCATCGGAGGCCAGTACCAAGTACTGCAATGTCAGCAGTTTTTGAAGTAAAGAGCGGGAAACAAAGGCCATTGCTAAAGAGCTTGCTGCTGCTCTACGAGACTCCGAGGCTGATGTGGAGAGTTTGGGTCGGTCGGTTTGGATAGATTACTAAATACAACTCACCAGCTGAGAATGGCAGGTTCAACAAAGCGGTTCAAGTTTTGCGAAGAAGCCAGGCATCGTGAACCACGATTAGCTGTATGCTTATGCAAGAATATTATTGACAGGAAGGTTAAGAAGGGTGTGTAGGCAGATCGTGCTTGCCAGCATCCTCGTCCTTCATTTGCTCGCCCTGGTAGCCCTTCGCGAGCGGATCCAAGCCAACTGGCAGAGCTCTGCATCCTCCTTCCTCCGACTTGCTCAGCGGCAGCCTCGTCGACCTCTGCTCTTTCATGAGCCTGAAGGGCCGCTGCGGGGTGTAATTTAATTATCTACGCGGGTTTGTTCTTCTAGGAGCTGGGGCTGGTGGAAACGCGGGCTGGCGCCACTCAGAAGCCCACGCGGGAAAAAGGGGGTTGCTGAGCTAAACAGAGAGAGTGGGCGCGCGCAAGATGATACTTCTTAAGTTGAATAATCACGACCCCTTGACCCCCAAAGAGGCACCCCAGAATGGTGTGCATGTATGTGATGTTGGAGGCCCCGTTGATAGCAAGAACATGCTGAATGGCAATGCCCATTTGGCTCAAGATGCCCATTAGATCAAAACCAGGGTTTGCGCTCGCCTACCGGACTGGGGTTAATAAGGGTCCCGGTTTCTGGTTCGCGTTGTTTCTTTCCCCGTTGAGTTCTTAAGCGCTTATGTTTCTGCTGCTGCCTTGAACATATGAACTCGCAACTCATAACGTCTAATCTGGATACGCGTTAGCAGGAAGCGTGGCTACCGTTTCGCCGCGCCTTGGAGGTGTAACATTTCCAGCTATCCAGGGAGCACTGTTCGGCGCTCGGCAAGCCCTTGCGTTACCTTAGCCGCTTACAGAGCGTGAGTCTCACAGAGCGAGGCGTTGCCCAATGGCTGTTTTCCAAGCGGCAGAACCCGAGATCACCCTCTTCATCTCGCCTTTAGGCACTTCCCCGTTGACGCTCCATGCTTTTCGGGCTTTGCGTATGACCTGTGCGTGCCACTCTACCTTGGCTGCGTCCACTGGCAAGTTGGTGCAGCTTTCTTTGCAAGAAGCGCTTCTCGTAAGATTGGCGATGGGTCTTGTCACAATGGCTATCAATCAGCTTGCTCCCAGAAGTGTGCAAGACAAACTTGCGCCTTTGGTCATGCATGGCCAACAACTCAGCGTGTCGCAACACCATGTGCGAGTGCTCTATCGTAGATTCGGAGGCAACGGCGCAAGCCACCTTGGTCACAGCCGTCTGGGTCCGCTCTCGGAGCGGGTGTGGAGAGCGTCATGATTGATCAACCAACTGGGTTGGATCGGCCGGCAAACAACCGACCAAGCTGACCAGCCAAGAACAGCCTTCTGCGCAGCTAGCGAGCTCGTCGGTTAATGAGCTACTGCTACTTGATTAGCCAAGTTCCATTCTCAGAATGGCTGCTTATCTTCCTTTGTGGTGAGCTGCCGATTCAGCTTCAATGCTGAGCTAGATCATCATCTAGCTAATTAGCTAGTTCACCGGCATTTAGCCACTTGGCTACTTTCCTCTTGGCTTGCTAGTTAGCAAGTCTGCCTGTCAGGTTGTTAGCCAATTGGCACAGCCGAAGTGCCTGGAAGCTAGTCCGATTCAGCGTTTTGGCGCTTCGAATACGGTACGCAAGACATGTCGCATGATGTCGCCATGCCTTGTTCGCACATCATTGATGTAGTAAATTTTGACTGGATGCACATCTCCGAGAGCAGGCTCTTCTGGTGGATGATCGACGGCTGAGTGTGCGCAAGTTTCCTCAGAGCCCTGAACGTGTGCTGTTGAGTGGTTATCAGCCGTAACTGCTTTTAGGCCCCCTCAGTCCGGTAGTCAGCGCACTTCGTGCATGGACCCGGCTCCGGCCTTCTTGGCCAGAGGACACAGGGGCGGCTGGGTATATCGTTGAAGGCTTTACTACGAAGCTTTCGACAAGCTCACCCGTTGGGCTCGGCGTGAGTTCCAGGTTGGGGTGGCAAGAGTCCCCTGGGAGGAAGCCTCGGACTTGCATCGGAGCTCCCTCCTGGCGTGGCAGGCCGATTTCACTGAAGAGAGCTATCGGCACCTGCGGGACATCTACCCCGACCTCTACGACGCCGTCATCGCCCGAGGCCGCCACCAACCAATCCCAATTCACCAACGGGCACAGGCCGCAGCTCAAGGCGCGGCAGGGCAGGCCACACCCGCTCAGCCACAGCAACAGCCAAGCACCCCATCAAGTCCATCCTCCACCACAACTGTGTCCACCATCAAGGCAGCAGGGCCGGGAGATCAGGCTGCAGCTACAAGCGCAGCGGTTCCACCAAGAACCACAACTGAGAGCTCGTCCGGACCTTCATCCTATCCACCTGCAACTGCGGGTAGGGGAAGGTACACTACTGCGGGGAGGTCCTCATCGAGGAGGAAGAGGACGCCGGCAAGGCGACAACCTTCCCTTGTACCGGCGCGGAAGGCGTCAACCAGACGCCCGAGATCCAGAACTCCCCTCAGGGCTGCAGCTCCAAGCGCAGCGGGGGTGCCTCTTTGTGGGTCAAGGGGTCGTGATTATTCAACTCCCCCCTCCCCGTGTTCACTAAGAGACATGTATTGTACAGTCGCGCTTGAGCTGCGACCTATGTGATGCAAGGTCCTTTACCAGACCATAAGGAGGGCTTACCTATGATTTTGCACTTTTGTTACTGCTTGGACATCTCAGGCCGGACATCTTTCAGCTTTTCAGGCAAATTAGTCCTGATGCCTAAAAGCTTTAGTGCGTGGTCCCACTTCAAGGGCTGCAGTGCCTTCGTAAAGATATCAGCTGCCTGGAGATCAGTAGCTACATACTTGATAAGTACACCCGTGCCGGGTTCAAGTTGCTCAGCAAGTGCGGACAAGTTCACTTTGTGAGTGCGCTGTATGTGCCGCATTTTTGGGGAGTAACCTTTCTTGGCAACGAGGATAGTGGCTTGGTTATCTTCGTGCAGCGCCAGCTCAACGGGCGTCCAAGCAGACGTTCCCATAAGGTCAAAGAGGGAAGACCCTCTTGATACAAAGAGAATGTGAACGACCTCGGCTTCGGTGGTGGATCTCGACACTGATGTCTGTCGTTTGCTCAACCACGCTAAAGGAAAATGGGTGTTCGGCCCTTTGAGAACCAGGAAGCCACCGGACGTGGACTTCGCATCCCTTTCTCCAGCATAGTCGGCATCCGCATACAGAGCGAGGTGAAGATCTTGCGGGTTGTCCTTTATGACTCCTACCAACCGGTAGTGCGTAGTCGAGTGGATGTACGCGATAAGACGGGCGAGTTGCCTATCATGGTTGCGAGACCACTTCTGCACGGCGGTTGCTAGGTCACCTATGGGCTTGATGATGTCAGGACGCGCTAGTCGTCCCAGCCATAAAACCAGTGATCCGTCTGGGCAGAACGGGGTAGTTACCTTCCGGAGCTTCTCGGGCTGAGTGCCGGTTATAGAACAAAACAGTTCTACAGTTTGACGGGCATAGTCATTCATGTCAAAGGCAACGGCACCCTCTAATGCGCTTACAGCTGCATTCAGATCATGCTCTTGAGGTTCCGCGGGGCCATCTATAAAGACATGATTACCCGAAAGATCGGCTCGGGAGGCTCTACATTTCTCAATTTTGTAAGCTCTTCCCAAAAGGCTTCATGTGCATCTGCGGGACCCATAAGGGTCAAGTCATCGACGTAAGTCGAGAGCATAAGGCCTACCCCTTTAAAGAAAAAGTTTCCAGGAAACTCTGGGATTTCTTCCCCTCCCAGCAGCTGCTTAAGCAGTTTCTTAAGGTGTGCCTCCCACAGACCTCCTGCGTCAGGGTGACCATATAGGGCACGAATCAACAAGACCACGGGTTTCACGAACTTGGAACCCCATTCCTTTGGCCGCAGCTCAAGCGGTTCAATCCACGTCTGAAACTGTGAGCTAAGGAACGCCTGGACATAGGCTTTTACCGCGTCAG